ATGCGCACCCCCAACGACTCAGTGCACGGCGACGCGGCGAGCGGCGGCACTGAGCGCCTACGCCGGCCACCTGGGACCTGCGCGGACCACCTAACGGGTCGATCACCATCTCTGACCCGAGCGGCTACGCTAAGAGGCGGTGCAGGATGACACGACTGGCTGGGGAAGGCTGCAGCGGTGCGTGGCCATCCGCAACGGCGGCGCCACTGTTTCGATGGCCTGAGGTAGCTACAGGCCTAATTGATTAGCGTGTGAGCGTCAGGAGGCTACCATGGACTAGGCCAAGGTGACAGTTGGGGCGGAAGATGACGGAGGAAGGCTAGCCACGTGCGGCCGAGCCGTGCGGCGGCGTACCGCGATGGCACGGTCGCGTCAGCGACGAAGAGGAGGCGGTAGCGGTTCGACTGAGGCACGCAAGGTGGAGAGGGAGTCAAGACGATGCTAGCGGTGCCGGTGAATTGGCTCGGAAGAGACGATGGGAGAGCTGCCCACACCCGCGACCGGATGCGGCCTTATTGGCACGGCGGCAGAGAAACTTCAAAATTAGAGCTCGACCGGGCTCCATTCAAGGCGAGGTGGGGACGGGTAGCTAGGCAGCTATGCGACGAAGCCAACAACGCAACAAATCGACTTGAGATGATCTCTCCCTGAGGAATTTAATGGCGCGGCTCGACGGCGGCAGTAAAGAGAGAGAACAGAGAGAGAGCGAGGGAGCGGTGGGGGAGGGGCAGCCAGCGACTTGGCAAGGGCGTGCCTTGGCGGGACGCGGTTGGCGCGACCGGCGTGGCCCGCGCGACGTAGTGCCATCAATGGCAAGGTGACGGCGACACGGCCACGTGCATGCAGCGTCAAGGCGGGCCAGCGGCGCAGCGCAGCGGTAGATGCGCCGCGTGGTGATGCGACGGTGGCGGCAGCGGCGTCGTCACTGCGTGGGCGCGGAGGCAGCAGCATCACCAGCGGCAGCCGCGAGGCCACGACAGCCACGGCCAGCCGGTGCGTGGCCACGCGCGCGCAGGGCACAACCGCGCGGCGACACGGGTCGGCCACGCGTGATGACCACACGCACGGCGCCATACATCACAAAGCTGTGACGTGCATAAATTTTAAAGCGTTGATCACGATCAAACTGTTGCTCGAAAACCTAAACCGGCTTCATTACACTCAAGTTGGTATATGGAACTACTAAATCGAATCATAGTACTACACCACTCTTTAACTCAATCTCTCCAAATAAATTGCTAAACATAGCAGCATCTAGCTGTCCACAAGCTTAGAAATTTTCTAAGTGTTTGAGCTAATCTTAATTTCAGATTGTATTTCTAAGCTACTGAAAATATTACTTAGCAATATTCCTTTTCAATACCAAGTATTTCATTGTCATCTACAAAGTTGACATTTCAAACTTCATTTAAGTGTCACATACATGTTCTATAGCATTTTTGCTTAATAAAAAATTATTTTAAACCATACTTGATATACCTGAACTATTGAATCAACTTTCGTTTAACATTTTATTGATCATTTGAAGTTACAAGAAATTGATCTACACACTTATCACATGCATTAACACATAAACATGATGCTCATGACATGTTTTAGTAAATGATTTAAGGTGTAACACCGAGGGTGTTACATTGTGGAATGCCAAATTTCAAGTAAAATAGCGTAATCCAATAAGTAGATTCCAATTCCACTAAACTGAGGGATCAAACAACCCCTTAGGGTAATTATATCAACTCATGTAATCCTTGTTTTTGAATTAGTTATCCCTAAACTTAATTATAGATTTAAAATCGAAGTTAAAAGAAATTAGTTTGGTCACCATATGTATAACTATAAATGAAGTTAAAAACTCACGCCTTTCAAAGATAGGTAGAGCTTAGATTTAACATAGAACTATGGAGGTATTACATGCATGCACTGGAGCTATGCCGAGTTGGAAACCGATACCTCGACATACACTAGCCCATGAAAAATCGTAGAACCACTTTGGATCCACACGTACGCAGCTCCTTATTGTTTGTTTTCTTACAAGACTGTTTATTACAAAAAAAATAAGCTGGGTACGTACTAGCGCTATACGCGTAGGCAACCTATCTTGCTAGTTGACACTGACAGAGGTCGCCTGTTGCCCTGTTGCATACCCGGATGATGCCGAAAGGTTTGATTTGGTGCTGGAGAAGCAGTAGCGCTGGAGGCAAAATTGAAGCTGAACGGCGAACCATAATGCGAAGCATGGCATGGACGATTAGCTCGTTGCGAAAGGTGACAGAATCTTGTTATCGTAGTCAAGCCCAGCAGAGTACGACGGCTAGATCGTCAGCTGATATGCTCACGTCCACCCCAATCAGCCACGCCACTACCACTAGCGTGAGAACGACTTCACCTCACCTGCAGCTGCAGCAGGCCGAGATGATCCAGCTCCCCAGCGATAGGCAAGGCCGTTTTACAGTGCAGGCTCACATCTTCAAGCCTTCATGCGTTGCGCGTTTGCGAGGCCACAGCTAGTTTGCCTTTGACTGACTAAGGCTCCGTTCGCGTGTCCTTAAATCCGGCTTGATTTGTTTATTTTTTTTATCTGAAACAATGTTTTTCTCTCACGAATTCCTCCAACATTTTTTCAAATCATCCAAATTTCTCCAGAATTCAGACAAACGAACAGGCCCAGTACATACGCCAGTCGGATAGTTGTTTCCCTTTTTGCTTTTGAAAAGGAACGATCCACAGCGGAACATCGAACCTAACACAAGCAACCGTGATGTTTTTCCTGCTGTCTTGCCCACTTTTGTCGATAAACAATTATCAGAAGCGGTAAAAATTTACGAAAGGTAGTAAACGGTAAACCACAGGTGAAAAAAAATGTAGAATTTTCTCAACAAATTTGCAAGAACATAAAAATTAATGTAGCTAGACACCCAACACTCTCTTCTGTATCTACACAAACGTACAATACGACGGCGTGCCGTATTCAAAAGCCAAACCAAAACTTGGTGTATAGTGACAGTGTAGTAAGGAAAAAAATAGGGGAAGTCTATTTGTCAACCGGTTGATTGGGATGTTTGTCTCAACCGGCTTTTTTTGATCGTTCGATTTGGCATGTGCGGTCCGTTATGAGACAACCTGGTTCTATTTCGTTGTCTTTGTATTCTTTGTCTGCCATGTGGGTCCGATATGTCGGCGCTTTCTTTTAATTTTTTTTTGTAATCGCGCCCGTTATTGCAGGGGTGTCCCTATCCGTTTCAGGTGTTCCCCATTCATTTCATTTCTTCTACTTGTCTCCCCCGCGGCGTAGCCGTTGTCGTCGCCGACGGCGATTCTAGGGTTCTCTAGGTTCGCCAGTTCGTCCCTCTTCTGATTTGTGTGTTCTTCATGTAAATCCATGTTGTTAGGGTTCATCTGATGCTGATGGAGTATTTTGGTTTGTGTTTTTGGTCCTCTGTTCGTCAGGCTCGTGGTGTCCCTGGTGCTTTCGTCGATTGGCGATTCTAGTGTTTCTCAAGGTCTGCTCCTCGTCTGCGCTTCTCGTCGAGGTATGTGGTGGTGGATGCGTGTTTGTATCTGTTGTGGTTCGAGATAGAGTGAATTGTGGATTCCGCCTGGGCTGCTGCACCCTGCAAGTGTTTGATTTCGTTCGAGTTATAGTGAATCTGGGGATTTTGTGGTGGCTCTGTTGGTGGTTGGGGATGGGGGTTGCTGGTTCATCCCCTATTGTTTCATGTAGAGTGTAATTGTTTGATTTCGTCCGAGTTATAGTGGATCTGGCGATTTTTGTGGTGGCTTTGTTGGTGGTAGGGGATGGGGGTTGGTGGTTCATCCCCTGTTGTTTCATGTACAGTGGTTTAGGCGATTTTTGTCTTGTTTAATTGCTGTGTGTCATCGTACGTACGTAGTAGTTGCTAGCTCCAGCTTCGTTCTCCTTTGAATACTTTATTACTTTGTGTCGAAACAGGAGTGGAAGCATGTAGTACTCTGTACTTGCTATCTAGCAGCTTGTTAAGTGTACTGCTGCGTGGTTGAGTTTGATGCTGCTGCCGTTGTATAGTTGTCTGGCAATCCATCCATTTGCAGGTTGTTTTGTTAGCCTATCTTCAGTAGCCTAGGCACTCAGACGACAACGGAGCCTACTGTAGCAGTAGATCAGGATCATTGTCCAGTTAAATGATGTAGTTCTGCAAGTTAACTGATATTTGCTTCTGATTTCTGTTTATTTTTGTTCTAACATTTTGCAAGTGGACCTAGGATTACATCTTCATGATTTTTGTTCTAGGCCTGTTTGTGCGGTAGCAATCTTAGCTGGTTCGTAGGTGTTTTGCCTTGGGTTCATGTTTCGCCTTTTGTGGCATGTCTTTTTTTCTTCCCAGAAAGAAATTTAAGGGGTTGAGGAGGCAAGGCAACCATGTATGTACGTTCTAGTTGCTATTTTCTAGCTAGATCCTTGTAACATAGCAACCAAGATCCTACTGCTCGTATACTGCAATGCAGATGGTGTAGCTAGCTAGCTGATCTGTTATTAGTTTCCAGGAGGAGCAAGACAAGGTAGGAGGCAATTTATCTTCATGTTCAGCATGTGTTGTGGTCATATGGCAGTGCTTCTCTGCACGAAGAGATGCAGATATATGAGGGAGGCGCAGGGAAGGGGAAAAGGATAAGATGGTGTGGTATTAAATGGAGATGATGTGGTTTGTGGTGGTGAGTAAGGGAGGGGAAGGTATGTGAGGTTAGCTGATGCAGTTAGCAGTAGTTGTATGCAGATTTAGTTGTGGCCCTTGCTGCATTATTGTTTTTGTTCTCCTTCTAAATTCTGATGGCTCTGCATTTGCATAGCCCTTAGATTTACCATTTCTTTTTTTTTGATCCCTCATTTCTTGCTTCCTCTCCTGTGTAGTAAACATGTATTGTATTTTTATTTTTTATTACAGTATCTTGTTACTATATTTACACAAATCATTTTAGTGTAAATTCTTAGACAAAGTGGTGTAAGTTAGTAATAACAGTACCTCATGGTGAGACCAAATTTTGATTAGCATTGGAGAAGTATCTGCCATATTTCTTCTTATAAATTCTCTTTGTTTGTTTCTTGTTTTTTAGATGGTTCGTAAAAGACCTGGTGGTGTAATTGATTTGTCAGACTCTAGTGATTCAGACATTGGTGGCTCTAAAGATGTCCAGTGTTCTCAGTTACCTTTTACAGACTATGATTCCTATGCATCATTATCAGAAACCCAGGTTGTTAGACTAACTAGTTATCTTTTTTTACTTTGGTATTTTTTCCTATTGTTTGCTTAATATTAGTTTGAATTTGTAGAATGATTCTTCCAGTGACACCTCAAGTTTTGATCGCCAGCTCTATGAGAAGTGCCTAAAAGATGTATGTTGTTTTTTTCAAATCTTTTTTCTTTCTTTTCCTTTGTTCTTTTCTCATTTTTTTTCATTTTAATTTTCTTCCTTTCAGTATAAGAAGATTAAGGTTTTGAAGAAAAGGTTACAGATGGCTATGAGACATAAGGTTATGTGTCCTTATTTTTCCGCATGTATTTAAGTTGCTCTTTGTTAATGTCTGATGTGATCTTTTCGTTTTCTGTAGTTTAGTTCTGGTTTTCTGGTGACATGATTTTATTAATTAGTGTGGTTTTTCATTCATTCAAAAATATAAAAGATGTACATGGATTAGTCACATTTTAATAATTTTTTCTTTTGAAGTTTTCCCTGAAATATTGTAAATCATTTCAGTCAAAGAAGAAGAAAATTGAAAAGAAGACTAAGGATGGCTTCACTAGGTTTTCTGCCACAGCTTTTATGAATGTGATATCTGCTCTGTCCCCTGAGAAAAGGGCTATCATTGAGAGTTATGGTTTTGGATCTTTGTTGAAGTTCAACAAGTGTTTCGTGCCGAATAAGTTTGCTAACTGGGTTGCACGTCTAGTTGATTCGAAATCTGGTGACATTATCCGTGATGGAAAGGTTATTTCTCTTACTGAAGAATTTGTTCATTTGGTTCTTGATCTCCCGAAAGGAAGCAGGTGTTTCCCATCTGATTCAAGTGCTGGTAGAGATGCTGTCTTATCAAAGTTTGGAAAGGATAGGATACCTCCTGTTTCATTTTTTGCTGACAAGTTAATCAATAAGGATGATTTACCAGATGAGGATATGTTCATTTGCTTCATGATAGTTGCTTTGAGTAGCTTTTTATGTCCGAATACCAATACTGTTCCAAGTCCCAAGTATTTTGGTGTTTTTGAAGATATTGATCAGATCAAGGAATATAATTGGTGCGGTTTTGTGTTGGATTGGTTGCTGGAGCATATAAAGGCATTCACTAGAGGGAAGAATGAGAAATCAAAACGTTGTCAAGGTCTTGGTGGTTGCTTATATTACCTTGTGGTTAGTGTTTCTGTTATCTTTTAAAATATGATTCATATTTACTGTTGTTTTTCTTTTGTTGTAACGCATTTTCCTTTGATTTTTTGTTCTAAGGTTGTTTACTTAGATCACATTGATTTCCGCCAGCGTCAAGTTCCAGACTGTATTCCTCGAATTTCAGTTTGGAAAGAAGATATGATTCAGTTTTATGCTAATCTTGATGTGAAATCTCCTGGTGTCTATGGTTATAGACCCTTGCTTGATTTTGAGAAAACTTGCTACTACAAGGTTAGATAGATATGTTTTCCCTTCATGTCTTTTTTCAGTTTTCTGTTTCATTTGTGTAAGGTTGAATTTTCTTCTCATTTATATTTTTTTTCCCTTTGGTAGTGTGTTCGTCTTAGACCAGTAACCTGTGCCGATGACCTTGATGTTGAATTTTGTAATAAGATGGAAAGTGTTTCTGGTTGTCAGCTTCCTTTGAGCTTGAAGCTTGAAATATCAAGGTTGATTGATGAGCATTGCTTTAATTCTGGTATGTCGTTGTCGATGGATGTGACTTCTCTTGGGAATGTTTCAAAGAAATTTCAAGATATGTTTGCAAAGATGATGCGTCACATATGTAGAATTGATGCTAGATCAAAGGATTTGGTCGTTGATATTATGCAAGCTATTTCTAAGACTGTTCCTGATGACAATGATGAAATTGGTTCTGATGTTGATAGAAATGAAGATAATGTATCTCCTGTTTTATCTGAGAGAGAAGAAGCTAATGTTGTTGCTGCTAAGGTCATTTCTTGCCCTTTCTATTTTCCCCCTTAATTAATTTCTGTAGTTACATTTTTTATTTTTTCTATCAGGATTCTGTTAATTGTTGTGTTGCTTCCACTTCAAAGTCTACACAAAAGAATGTTGCTCTTCACGGTGCTCAGGTCATAGATGTTGATTTGAAGGATGATGAGCCTGCTGCGAAAAAGAGTAATGGTTCTTATTTCTTTAGTTGTTGGAGTTTTTGTTGTGATCATAGTTTATTGTTCTTTAGATTGAACCTATAAATAATATTAAACATTTTGTTTAGGTTCCCGTGTTGTTCTTCATCCACAATTGAAGTCTAAAAGTGCTGCTGCTCTCGCAAATGTAGTCTCTGATTTGAATGATGGTGTTGCTTCTGTTCGTAATCCTTTGAGTGACATTAGTAATGTTGGTTGCCAATCTGTTGGATGTGATGGTGTTATTGACTTGGAGGGAGATGTGATTCCTATTGACAAGGAGAATGTCATTGTTCCCGATTCTGTTTCTCCTTCTCCTTTTCGTCATCGATCAAGATTGGGTCGTGCTAAGGTTTTTACCTGACTTTTTTTGCTGCTTGTCTTTGTTTTCCCTCTCTGGTATTTTTAAATAGTATTTTGTGTTTTTTTAGATCTCTCAAAATTCTCAGAATGGTTCGATGAACAATATACATGAGGTCAGTTATTATTTTGGTGTTATCTGTTTTGCAAGTTCATTGTATTTTTTATCAGTTTTGGCTTTATTTTGATTTTGTGTAGGATCATATATTCATGCGAACTCTTCCTTTGACTGATGATGGATCTCCTCGTATTACCCCTCATCTCTCTAGAAAGTCTTCTGTTTTCCCTGTCCTTAGTAATTTTGGCAAGAACGGACATGGCAATAAGCGACAAGGTTTTTCTGATAAAGAGAATGTAAGCTTTTGCATTATATAATTTCATTTTCTATATTTTACTTCTACTGGTATTTGATACTAGTTTTATTTTACTAAGTGTATTCCTTTTTTAGGATACCTCCCCTGTTATTTGTACTGGTTCGAGGCCTTTTCTTGAAACTGTTAAGCACCAGACCAAGAAATCAGAGGCTATGTATAATTCTAATTTGGAAAATATGAGGATGAGCACACAAACTCCTTGTTTCTCTCTTGGCAAGACTCATGGTTTTCCTACTGATTTATCTGTTAATCCTGAAAGTTTGGCCAATCGTTCTGATTTTAAAGTCAGGGATTCTTCAACTGGTGGGAAAGTTCCTCTTCATGGCCCTAGAAGAATGGTTTGTCCAAATAGAGTTCTTATTAATGATTTCATTGGCAATGAAGATAAGTTCAAACCTTCTCCGTCTGAATTAGCAAATTACAAAGCTATCTGTGCCTTGGCCAGTTCTCGTTCTAGCAAGTAATTTTTTTCCTCCTTGTTCTTTTGTTTATCTTATCTATTATTGTTTTTCATAGTATCCATGGCATGTCTGAATTTTATTATCTAAAATTTGTGAGCTTCTTTTGTTTCCCCTGTAATAATCCTGGCCATGTCATGTGTTAATGTTGTCTGTAGTTTGGATGCTTTGTACTTTGGAGGTGTTCGTTGCACCTACTGGTCCTTAGGTGAATCTATGAAGCTTGGTGGTACAGTCAACAATTATGTAGTTGCTGCATTTTGTTATCATTTGTTTTGCCGCCCAGATGGTCATCCAGATATATCTAAGCGTCATTACTTCTTTCCGAATATTTCAGTAAGTTTCTTGATATATTGAGTTTGCTATTTATGTAGCTTCATTTCTGCATGGTTGTTTGTTTATTGCTCTGTATTTTTATATAGGACAACCTGCTAAAAGATCATGATGAAGTTTTTGGGCATGTTATGATGAAAGCTTTTGAGCGTTCTGCGAAGTCAAGGCCCCTTTTTAAGTCTGATGTGGTTGGTTTTTTTTATCACAATGATCTCCTTTTCTTATTCCTTCTTCTTTTATTAGGTACATATAATATTATTCTTTGTGTATGCAGTTGTATTTTCCAACTTTCTATGAGGATCATTGGTTTGTATTCGTCGTTGATATCAAGGATAATAAGTTTGTTTTCTTGATTCTTTGTATACTGAGGTCCATGCTTACCATGAATATGTTAGAGGAAAGATGGTATTGTTCTTTTAATTAAGTTGTATTTTTTATTCTTGTTTATGAAATGTTTTGTTCATGTAATTATTGTTTTTGTTCTAGATCCCTGAATTTACATACTGGTGGGACAAGCTTGTGAAGCGTGATATGAAGTTCAAAGACTATGGTGTCAAATATCCTGTTGTGCCCAAGCAGTCTCCATATGATAAGTATGTTTCTCTTGTTAAATAATTACAGTGTTTGCACTACCTTTGTTTATGTTCCTGGCTGTTTTTGCTTCTTCGTTTAATTAGTTTAAATTTTTTGTACGCAGTTTTGATTCAGGAATTTACATTATGATGTTTCTTGAGTATTGGACTTCGCCTCGTTCTTCTCTGTGTTCTTTATTCAGTAGTGACGACATTCCAAATATAAGAGTCAAGTTAGCAAATGAAATGTTTTTCAACCCAAGGAACACTGGGAACAAGAATCCAGTGATCACTTTTGATCATGATGAGGTATATCTGTGCATATTTTTCTCACTTTTATGTTCATTTTTAGTTAAGTTGTTTATTATGTATATATTTTTTCAGGATGGTGGTTATTTGTAGATGGAGCCGATGTGTTTCTATCTTCGTCCCAGCTGTAGTTAGTTTACTATTTTGTATAGCTATAGGTCCAGTCTATGAACTTTTATCTCTGTCTTTTGGTCTGTAATAGGATACCACTTAAGTGACTTACAATATGTTTGTGCTATGTGGCACATCATAAAAATAGAACATTGATTACATATGATAAGTTCGCTAAAGTATTACATAAATTTTGTTGCTCTAAATGTTGATCATATGGCCTTCATCTAAATGTTGATCAAAGCTACTGAGTTGGTCGCCTGGGTATCATTGTTCTTCTTTGCTGATTTCTTCATTCTCTTTGACTTGGGCTTCACCGGTGAAACTGTGTGACACAAATGAAGTAGAGATTAGAGTTGTTCTAATACTTTGATATGTCTATGTATTCAAAATCTATTTTCTTACTAATGAATGTCACTTATTGTTATATATGATACTGACCTGAATTTTCATTTGCTGTAATTTGCTTCTTCTTGTTGGTCTCTTTTTTCTTTGCTTTCTCTCTCTCTTGTTCTATTACTGTCTTGAACCTCTTTGCCTTTTCTGGTCTCCCCTTCTTTTGTGTTACTTGTGGATCTTCTAGTAGCTGAACTGAACTACTCTCTTGATTATCTGTTTTTCCTTCTGTTTGTACTTGTGTTTCTGCTGTTGTTTGATTCTGGGAGTCATCATTAATTGGAGGTGCAAGTAAGTTGTCCAGGTGCTTGTCAATCCTTTCCATCTCTGCCATAAGGTAAACTGTAGCTTCTGCATTTTTTGCTGCTTTTGAATTCATAGTCGTCGACATCCTTGATAGCACATTGAATCTAAGCAATGAACTAGTTTTCACTGTTGTATCTTCAACTCTTTGCTTGATCAATCTCATATCTTTTTTCCTCCATCTGTCTATTATGTACTTATCTGGTATTTTGCTAATTTCCTTCTCTATCATGATTTTCAGGACATGAGAGCAAAGCAGGCCGTCTTTGCTGAATTTGGCACATATGCAACTGAATTCTTCCTTTCCCTCTGTCAGGTCAGTGAGCACTATGTATCTTCTTATCCTATGAACTTTATGTACCTGGTTGCTTCTTTGCCATACCTCAAATGCCTTGCCTTCTTCGATTTCTCTGTATGTTAGTGTTGAAGTAGCTTGCATCTGAACCTGGAATTTGCTGTATATGTTTCTATTGTATAGCTCATGTGCTTGCCTCTCAATTGTGTAGCCAAAAAGTAGTTCCTTTGGTCTCTTCTGGCAGCTATAGTGATCCTCTAGGTTCTCTGCTCTTTCTATGGTGTCTATTATACGTTGGTACTCTGTCACGAAGCTCATGATGCTATAGGTTGGGCCCACATTATCCTTAAATCTTGAATTTGTAGATTCACTTCTTGATGTGGTTTGGATAAAGGGGAAGAAATCATTTTTATAGTAGACTGGTATGAATCTTTTCCTCATTTCCCACATTCTTGTGAAATACTTGTTCTTCTCTAGTTTTTTATCTTTGATCATCTCCTCCCACAAGTGCTCAAATTCCTGCTCTGTGAGACAGTTGTTGACTATGTCTTCAAATTCCTCATAGAGTCCGTCATTCCCCTTAGCTGCAAAAACCTTTAGATTCTTGTTGTAGCATTTGTTCTTGATATGAAATAGGCAATTTCTGTGTATTGTGTTTGGCATCACTTCTGCAATTGCCCCCTTCATAGCCTTATCTTGATCTGTTATTATAGTTTTAGGTCTTTTTCCTCCCATTGATTCTAGGAATGTTTCAAAGACCCATTTGAATGTCTCCTTTGTCTCATCCTGTACGAAAGCACATGCAAATATACATGTTTGTGCATGGCCTGTGATACCAACAAAAGGAGCAAATGGCAATCTGTACTTGTTTGTCATATATGTTGCATCGAAACTGACACAATCTCCGTAATCTGCATAATACCTCAGTGATGATCCATCTCTCCAAAATATATTGCAAACTCTTTTGTCATCATCTAATTGGAATCTGTAGAAGAATGTAGGATCTTCTGCCTTTTTGGTTCTGAAGTATTCTAATACCTTTGTCATATCTGTGCCTCTGACTTGTCTGTTGATTTTTGTTCTGTAATTGCTGATATCCTTCTTCTTTACTGGTAATGCTGTTGGCCCGCCTCTCATATGTGATAATATAGATACCATTTGCCTTGTAGGTATGTTATTATCGTTCAAAGTCCTTATAAGTTCCTTCTCTAATTCTGTCAAATATTTGTGTTCACTTAAGGGTTGTCCTGGACATAGATCATGGTTGTGATCTAAATCCAGTCTGATGATTCTCCAAACACCCTTATCTTCACTAGCAACCATGACACATTGGCAATCTGTTTTGTCTAAGACATTAGTCCTCCTTGGTTTCTTTTTCTTTTTTCCAATCTGTTCATCCACTTGTGCCTCCTTTTGTTCTGTATTCTTTTTGACCGGTGGTTTTCCATACCTGTTACACTTTACTGTAGTTCTGATCATCTCATTGTCTCTTTTCAGGCTTGAAGTCCTAGCGACATGTACAACTATGGTTTTGAATCCTGCGAGAGATGCATAGAAGTTGAAGAAATGCTCAGCAGCATCTTTGCTCTCAAATTCCATTCCTAACTGAGGTGTGTAGATGCTATTCAAATCTGCATTATTGCCTTCTGATGCTGCTATTTGTTCACTTATGATAAATGCTTCTATCTCTTGTTCAGTCAGTTCCTTGTCTGCATCTGTCTCTGTGTTGTCTTGCTTTTCTGATGGAACCTGGTGAGTATCTGATGACTCTGCATTTGTCCTTGTGACTTCTGATGTTGTATTTGACTGATCCTCTTCCTCGACCATTGTAGGTTCTTGTATTTGTTGGAGTTGCATGTTTTTGAAGATTGCATCGCCCCATTGTCGATCTTCATTCTCTGTTAAGTAATCTTCATTCCAGTTTGATATGTGATTATCCTGAAAATACAATTAGTAATCAATATTACTATTTGAATCTAGCTTAATGCTTTTTTGGTAAATTTATATATTTTAGAGGTGGTTGATGTATAAATATATTACCTGACAATCTGAAATTGAGTAACTGTTATCATTGTTCCATTCAGGATGGCTGTTGATATCCCCCAGTGAAATCTGCAAATTTGGTTCATAAGTGAATCAGGCAAGAATCTATTTTAATTTGTGCTCATTTCACTATTGTTCTTTTGGTTTACCTCTTTTTCTTGTAATGTACTTGATCTGTCATACTCACTCCATGTGCAATAGTCTGACACTGGTTGATTGGCTTCCACATTTTGCTGCATTTATTTCCATTAAGTAGAATTAGTTAATTAAATTTGATTAATGCAGTGTAATATTTCAAATATATGTAATCAATTTTTTGCTGTTCTAACCTGAAAAATCTGTTGACCTAAGAGCATATTTGTATAAGATCCCTGCATGTCCTGAGTTAACTGAAACCCATAGTGTAATTATTACATTAGCACTGTTCAGAAGTTACACATGTAGAATAGGTGTAATTTTTGTATTTTTGAAGTGTAAATATTTTCTTACCGAATATATTTCTTCTTGGGAGTTCCTTATTTGCTCCATTAGTAGTCCTGTTAAGCTCTCCTGCAAGCATTGAAGTAAATTTTAAAGTTTTTTTCTTTGATCCATCATGAATGTTTATTTTTTTGGAGAAGGGTTTCTTGTGGTATTACCTTGCTGGCGGTTTGTATTTGGCAATGGTCTGTATTCTGCCCCCATAGTTCTGCTGAAGGATTGTTTGAACTTGTTCCAGAGATCACATGAGCAGTTCCTGGATTTGTCAATGTTTGTGTTGTCCAAGGTTGTGTCTGCACAACAGCTATAATGCATCAGTTTATGCATTGTTAGATTTTATCTTTTCTATGTTTAAAAGACATACCTGTATGTTGTACATTAGTCCCATGTTTTCTATCCATTGGTTCATTGTAGTACTTGAACTGGACTGAGCAAATGGATTTGATGGTAAATATGGAAACTGTGTACCGATCTGATTGTGGATATGTTTGTCTTGTGTTGATTTATCTGTTTGAATCTGCATCTCTGGAGCCCTGCTATGATTCTGTAAAACACATGTTAAAATTAGGTGTCAGTAAGTGTAAGAAAAGGATTTGGTAACGTTATGGCACTCTACTAGTTTTTTACTATGGAGATTTGTGTTTCATGATGACCTGTTGTTATTTGTATCCAATCTACATGTAGATTCATGACTTCAATTTTTTCTCTCTGAATTCAGGATCTTACCTGTGTTTTTTCTGCAAGTAGATGCAGGTGAAACTCCCAGTTTTCATCAGGTGGTTGCATTCTCCTCCTTGTGGATGAAGCTTGTAGTCAGATCTGAGTTGGATGCAGTTATTTTTCCCCAGTTCGATGGTGGCTGCCCTGGAGATGAAACCTAGGCAAGTGTACGTGTCTTTTCTCTCTGTGTAGATTCGTTTCTGAGCTTCTTGGATTGCAAGGCATATTATTTCAATTTGCCCCCTGTGGTTGTTATGTTTTCGTTGTACAGACCAATTTGTAATTTTGGGTCTGTCTAAGTGCTGGATAAATTTCTTATGACCCTATTGGGCCTTGTTTTGTTGGGTCTTATTTGGGCCTGTAGCTTGATCAAGTTATGAAAAATAAACCTATTGTAGTTTTGGGCCTTGTACTGGATAAATGTCTTATGACCAATCTGCTTCAAGTTTGTAGCCCATTTTCTAAATAAAGAGGCTTTCTCTAAGCAGTTGTTTGATCAGATGACCAAATCAGCTGAGTTTGTTTCCTGTACAGATTTAGTTTATTTGGTACAATCAGGGTGTTGTGGCAGTGGGTTTCGTTTCTGAACTTCCTGATTCCATATTATCAATGACTTCCAGTATTCTGTTTATTTACTTCTTGTCTTGTAGTTTAATGTTTTAATGAATTGGGTTTGTTGGATTATAGATCATGTACTTACACCCTCTTCCTTTTATATTTACTTCTAATATTCACTGTAAATTTAATGGCAGGTTGATGTAAGTTGGATTAGAGTGATGTTGTTTTTGCAAGATTTGTTCTCATTAAGAATTTCTAATTTTGTTAATTTGTTTATTTTTCATTTCTGAATTATTAGCCACCTTTTTATTTGCAATATGGCTACCATAGAAAAATTTTTGGATATTTTTGCCTGTACATTTGTCCATTTGATTATTTGAATTATCTCAAAGTCCTTTTTTTGAGTTGGTTTCTGGAGTTTCCTGGTGCTTGTTCTTGCTGGCCATAGCTATACTTGCTAATCTATTTAGCTTCTTTACATTGCTCTGTAATTTATTTTACACTTCAAATGTCCATAATTTATACTGTATTTTCAACTATAATTTGTATAACTGGTTGGTGTAAGTTTTGTACTGCTTTGGTGTAAGTTTCTCTCTAGTTGAATGCTGTATTGTTTTATTCAATTTGTCAAATGATTTGGTTGTGAAAGAATATGAAATTCATTTTTGTATTTTTTTTCCTCATTTGATATTGGTTTCTATGAGTATCAGTTGCTTTAATCTGAACTGGCTTTGCTTCCTTGTTATTATATTTGATTTGGCCTAATATAATAGGCCAAGTGAAGTGAATTTGGCCTCTGTTAAATTTCGGTTGATTCAATGAATTGGCTCAACCGGTTGTTTGAGTGGGGCAAATCAACCGGTTGTTTGAGTGGGGCAAATCAACCGGTTGATGGTGTTGTCTCAATCAACCGGGCACAAGGTAGAGAGCCCCAAAAAATACACTGCTGCCCTACGTCAAAAGATCGCGCCAAATCGTACCGACTACAAACCCGACACACGCAGCGACCACACCCGCACCTCGCCGTCGAAGCTCGCGCTGCATACCCTCCACTCCTCGCCGCCGTCCGCATCGTCGCCACCTGCGCGGGACCGCTTCTGGATCGGCGGCAGAGGCGCCGCCGCGACGGACCTGACGGCGGCGTCGTGGCCGTCGATCACGGCGACGCACGCGTAGCCCCTACCGTCCGCGGCGCGGCGCCAGGCCCGCACCGTCTGGTCCGCGGACCCGCTGACGACCAGCCCGCCCGGCGCGCACGCGACGGAGAGCACGGCCCTGCGGTGGCCCCTGAGGGCCCCGACCGCGACCATGTGGCTGGCGCTGTCCTCCCGCTCCCACACCAGGACGCACCGGTCGTTGCCGCCCGAGTAGAGCGCCTGGCCGCCGCACCCGACGGCCAGCGCGTTCACCGCCGCCGTGTGGCGGGACAGCGTGGCGACCAGGTGGTAGACGCCGGACTGCTGCTGGTGGTGCTTCTTGCCGCCGCGCGCCCACACGCGGACGCGCTTGTCGGCGGAGGCCGTGTACACGGTGCCGTCGGGCGCCACGGCGACGGCGTTCACGGCGTCGTCGTGCGCCGGCAGCGACTGCAGGCACCGGAGCGACGGCAGCGCCCACACCTTGAGCGTCTTGTCCCAGGACACGGAGAAGAGGAGGCGACCGTCGGCCGACGCCGCGACGCCCGACACGGCGTCGGCGTGCTCGATCCAGAGCCGGCGGTGGTGGCGCCGGACGGTCACGTGGTTGGACGGCACGGGGAACCGGCGGAGGCGATCGGAGACCGTGGGCAGCGCCGCGGCGAGGCGCAGCCTGGCGGGCGACCGCGAGGACACCCGCCACAGGCGCAGCCGCCCGTCCTGGTGGCCCGTCACGGCTGCGGCGGCCGCCGCGCCGCCGCTGCTGCCGTGGAGGTGCGCCACGCACTTGACCGAGCCCGCCGCCGCCGCGGCGTCCGCGGCGTCGGAGGTGGAGGTCGCCTCCAGCGTCGACAGGTCGTGGAGCGCCACGCACGCCGGCCGCGCCACGACGACGAGGCCGCCGTGCAGGGACTCCCCCGCCGCCGCCGCCGCGACGACGGCAGCGGACGACGCGGACAGAGGGAGGAGCGTGGTGACGTGGGCGAAGAACGCGGCGAGGCTGACGCTCGTCGCTGAAGACAGCGAAGGGAGGGACGTCGAGGACGACGACGCCTCCGACACGGCCGCCGCCGCGGCGGACGACGTGGAGACGGTCGACGAGGAGGTCGACGACACCGCGGTGGCTAGCTTGCTGCTGTTGCCGTTCCTCCCCCCGTCTCCGTCGCCGCCGGTGCCGGTGGCCATGCAGAGGCGCGGAAGAAGCTGCATTTGGAGCGTGACGGGTTACCACTTTGTGGGCTAGCGTACCACTCTGGCCGCGGCTGGCACAGCTGACAGCTCGAGTCGAGTCGAATGAGTGAATGGCTGGTCAGCCGCGGCTCCTCGACGGCAACGCGAGTCTATTTGTACAAGGCGCGGGTGCCCCGGGACCGGGCATCCGACGGCCCGGGCCGCGGCAGCACGCGTGTGAGGAAACCTTGGACGGTCCAGATCGACCTGATGTGACCCGTCGGCACGCGGTCGGGACAAGGTGTCTGAGGCTGGAGGCGGGTGTCCGGAGCGGGTGACGGTGACGGTGACGGTGACGGTGACGGCGACGGCGAAGGCGCTGGCTGTGAGTCGCTGCCGTGTCAATGCGCGATGTGATGAACGGGTGGACCCAGGTGTTGGTGCACTGTCGGGTCGAGGCAGAGGCACGAGCAGTACTATTTTAGCTAACGAACGACGTTTTTTTTTCACAACAAATCAGTAAACGGTACTTTCAGTCATGACTTTTCAGTAAAACGAACGGGCCAGACTATTGCACCGTGAGTTTTTTCTGCCAGTCGGTATGAATCTTGCAACGATTTACTGCGCTGTGACAGCAAAAATCACTGTGAATCTGCTTTGCAAACAAGTTTTCCATTAATTGAATTTCACATTTCAAATGTCAATAAACAATCACGTTCCCAGTCGGCGGTTTGAACAATCATCTCCCGCTTAAAACGGTGAAAGTTTGTAGATCCTCGGTACTTGAGCAATCATGTCTAGCTAACTAGTCGCAATTCTAACGCGTGGCCGAGACATTTCTGCTCTGTGTTTCCTTCTTTTTTTCAGCAGCACCTGTCTTGGCCTCTTGGGAGTATTTCTGCATTTTGAATTTTGATCCGCTTGCAGCTCAATGCATGGGATTGGGTCAGCCGTCAGCAGCGATATATGCAACACCAATTCAGTCATGTATGGATCATGGAAGAAGCACTAAGCTAATGCTCACTCACTTTGCAAGGCATTGTAGCCGCAAGTAGTATATGTAGCAGTAGTAAAATATTTGCCGTGAAAGTGCAAAACTAAATAATAACTAGTGTTCCATAAAAAAAAGCACCGTTATGATCCAGCATGTTTAGATAAAAGCTAGCAACAACAGATTTGGAGAATAAAAATCTTGCAAAGCGACGCCCCCAAAATGGTGGAGGTTTAGAGACAAACTTTCTCGGAAAAAGAATACTAGTTTTTAGGACAAACTCTCCGCGCTTACGATTCGAACAAAGACAAGATTGCAGTGTAGTGTTGCGTCCTGCTGCAAAAACTAGCTAGTGTCCTGAAACGAGAGTAAAAAACAAGCATTACGACAGCCATTCAGCTGTTCCACCAAGAGCTATATGACGCGTGCCACCCATAACACAGTACTTACACGTTCCAGAAAAAAGGCTTTCTTTGAATGATCCAATCCCAGCACGTTCTGCCCAAAAGCGTTGGATTAGGGAAAGATTATTAGCCTCCAACATGCACGTATATATGTAATAATGGGAGAAAAAGCGAAGAAGACAGCGACAAATCTCAGATAAAATATGGTGAGTGAGTGAATATGATGTAGCTAGCTCTCTCACAGCACGTCTCAGAAAAGGCAGATGTGAGGATCATGGCCCAATCTCTGCGTGTTCCCCAACTACTATACGATCGGAGCGCTCCACTTAATCTTTCTTAGGCAAGCAAATTTAACATGTTTTAATTTGGGCAGGCAAGGCCTGAGTGCTGCTTTGCACCCTCTTGCTCTTGGTCCCCCGCCACGAGCTCTGTAGCCGCAGCCCTAGAATACAATTACATGTTGGGTTTAGTGTTAGCCTATGCATTCAGCTCGGATCTCAAAATGTTCGGCGTGTGCAAAGAAATTAGTCAACTTGTCAAGCAATCCGGCCGGCCTGGAATGGCGCTGTGAGGGTGCAAGGAATATCATGGCGCCATGTTGTTTGAGTGGAGAAGCGGCAAAGAATATGTGTTATCTATGTATATCCCCCTGGACCCTGGTCTATACTTCCTATGTCACACCCTACTTTCTTTTTTCATTTTTTAAATGAACTTGCTTTTCAAAGCCCAATGTATTCTCCGAAAATTGAGATTGTTGTCGATTTTGCCGGTGCAAATATTAGGCTTCTCCAAGTTGGCATCCTGACC